TTCAGGTACAACAACTGAATACAAAATATTTGTTTTTATTTACTGTTATTTATCCAGGCAAGTCTCAAGAAAATGGCTGAAAAAGCAGCCAAAATAAAAAACAAAAACATTAAAAGACCTCCAGAAAACTAACTTAATCAAGACTGTGTGGAAGTTCAGCTGCTTTGATGTTAAACATGAAGGATGTTAGTGGAGATCTGAAACTTACCCCAGAAATGAGAGGGTCCAGACAGCGGAGGATCAGCTCCAGGTATCCCAGCATAATTCACTGCCTCCCCCCACACGTGGTTAGGTAGCAGGGGTGGTAAAACGGGGTCCGGCCCTACCACGTCGTCCTGGACGGGTATATGTGGCTGAGGAGGTAAAAGGTGTGGCGATGGCTCATTCTGACCTGCCGGAGGGGCGTCTGCGGGGCTCGGGGGGTCCTGAGGCGTCTCTGGAGGTGTGGTCTGAATGCACAGCGAAGCGTTTGGCGTGAGGCCCAGAGAGCGCAGCGAACACGCCAGCTCCGCCTCCCCGAAGCGTTTCCGGGGGAAGCCCTGGAGGAGGGAAAAGCAGGGCAGGGACGGGTGGCGCCCACTGATGTGCTCCACGACGCTGCGCAGCGAGGCGTCGGCAGAGAATCGCTCCCGCATGGACTCACCCGACGGCAGCCGAATCTGCGTCGACGCACAAACGAACGACGTTGAATTGAGTGCTAAATGTCATTAAAATACAACCAGTCCTACTGATCATAAACGTTTCTTACCATGAGGACACAATTATTATCTATATTTGTCTGAATCTTTCCCCCGAGTTTCTGCCCCTGATCACCGGGAGGAGTCGTCTCTGAAACAGGAGCTGTCTGACTTTTCGCCTGCAAGGTTCTCCGATCCTCAGCTATCCGCTTCAACACCATCTCACGCTCCTGACGGCAGAAAAACAAAAGTTTAAGTGTTTTTTTTTCTCCCTCCTTTAATGAACTGTATAATATTGCCACCTGGCCAGTGCCAACCTGTTTCTTTTGCCTTTTCTCAGCTCGGACTTCCTGAGCAACACGCTGCCTTTCTTTCTCTTCAAAGTRGCTCTTGTCTTGTTTGATCCGTGACTCGAGCGGAGGTGGATCGGGGGACWGGGTGGAGGATTGTGACGCCTTCAGAACCAACGATGAGCCAGCTAAACAAAAGCAAACAAAACAAGAGGGATGAATCTATTGGTATTATTTTGCATCCTAAACTATTGACCTTGAAGTAAAGTGGAGGTGCGTCACCTCTGCTGTCAGGTGATGAGGCAGAGGTGCTCGCTGCTTCTTTGGGAGGGTTGAAGGCAGAAAAGGCTGTTTCAGCTGGTTGTGAGGACTGCTTCACCAACCTGTGCCGTGGATACTGACCCTGTAAAAGCCTATCAATGCACAGGAGACAAGTCGTTGACAGAAAGAAGGAACATAAACAACAGGGGTGTAAATCAGCAGCTTTATCAAAACACGGTATGATTTATTTGGACGACGGAACAATGTTTCTGGATATCACCAAGTCTGTTATGATACAATTTTGATTCAACTCAATGCAATTGTGATTAATATGATGCAATATCATATGCTTATGTGTTTGATTGTGATTGTGTTWGATGGGCATTTATTATCCACCCACATAAGGCAAATTATGTCAATATGGGTCGATGCTTTCATTTTGCCCTGATGTAATTGAATCAATAATCATTTAAATTAAATATTTACCTGAATCGTTGTGTTGTTACACCCCTAATAAATTATGACAATAAACGAGAGTATCTTAAAATCAGGGACCACTCACCACTCAGTGGCTTCTGTCACAGAAAAATGTCCCGCCTGCACAGCTGCCTGGATCTGGTCTTCTGTGAAACCCATCTCACTGAGGATGAGGAATAACTCCCCGATTGTCTGCAGGAAAATAACAATAATAATAATAAT